TTCCAGCAGCTTCCCCAAACTCCAAAGCAGCAGTCCAACGCTAGCAGCCACAGAAATGAGGTTTAAAGCCGAATTCGGATGTGCAAGTCGAACTTCCTCCCATTCAAAGGCCTGCAAAGGCGGCACCAACAAGATGTCTGCCTGCCAAAAATGCAGCAAATGTCTAGGCTTCTGGTATGACACTCCAAACCTGGAGTCGGTGCACTGGCAAACATATCTTCACATGCGACCTCCTTTGTAACAAGATCTGCCTGCGCAGCGCCCATGCTTCTTGGAAGTGGACTTGCAGCCATCACCTGCCAAGCGCATTCCATTCAAGGGCTAGGCAAGGGCGTCGTGGCAAACACGAGACAAAACCTGCACAGTTATTACTCCCCAAGAGAGGTGAAAACTCAAGTCGCGACACCTCGATGTTCCACCAAATAGGCCCTCAGGTCGAATGCACATGACCATCCGCGTCTCAAACGCTTTCAGCCCAGTGCGTTCACTGGTTGCCAGTGCTGCCGGAGCAAGGGCCATGCCGAAGATCTGGTGCACGCCGGGAAGAAGCCCTGCACGGGCTCGCAAACGGGCTGCGACTTGAGAGCGCTGCAAAGACGTTGCTTTTTGGGATAAGTTGGGCCCTTCTGGTCGGCATTGAGCAACTTGGTAGAAACAGCTTCTGCGACTGGGACAGTATTCTGGTATTCCCCTTCAAGTTTGACCTTCTCTGGACACAGTGCGCCTTCAACAATCGTTGCTGTCAGCATCCCGCCGCTCGTGCTTGGGGCAGACATGGGTACCACAGCTCCTGCCCGGGCCATACTTGGCGATGACAAGCAAACGCACCGTCTAGAATTCAGTGCAAGCTGGCTATCCTAAAGATTAAACACATAAATAAATGCACCATAAGAGCACAACTACAAAGGTCCTAGCTTCAGCACTCGAAAGCCGCCCTGCGCGGCTTCGCTGGCTCGCAGTGCTGATGTTCTGATGCAGGAATCCAGCCTGCTGCATTTGGAACGGCTTGCCTGAAATCTGCAGCGCTTCTCCGGCATTTGCTGAAGGAATTCTGGCCTGGATCAGCCACTTTAAATGACTGCTCAGGAACAGTAAGCTGGTTTACGCAGCCGAGCGGCATCCATTTGAATCACAATCCGCCTGCTAAATTGCGCTGGCCATTGAGACTGCAAAGGGTACCTTGAGACAAAGCCAAGCTGGAGCACATGGCTTCTAAGCAGGGTGTATCAACTTTCGCTCACTCAAGGCTCTCTTGGCAAGACATGCTGCTGTGCTCTCATGCCAAGATGCTGAAGTGGTCTGGACTGGTACACGCTCTGGAGATCAATATGGGATATGAGAATGCGGCCTGCACAAGCGCATCCCTATGCTCACGATGTCGAGAACGGCAGCAAAGCCTGGCACCGCCACCCCATTTGTGAAGTTGAGCGCGCGAGCCTCCAGTCACCGAAGTCGCAAGAACAACTGGAACAAGTACATCTTACGGCAGTCTGCTTCTCACTGCTGACAGTGGATGAGATACCATTTGCTAATACATTGCAAACTTTTGGATGTCCAAACTTCGGGGACAAGCCAACCCCTCTGCCAGTTGTCTATCCCAGGTCTCCAGCCACAATATGCCCATCACCTCATCTGCCGACCGCATATTCTGAACAACATCAACATGACACATTGCCAATCATGAGGTTGCTTCAAACTGGCACGCAATAAGCGGGAAGCGAAAGGATGAACAGTGCCAACCCTGTTGCGGTTGTTAGATACTGCAAACTCAAAACCATCACTGGACTAAGGGCAGACCCATGCACAACGGGCAGAACCACATCCACAGAAGTGCGTCGAGGCGCTATCAAGTGCATTGAGGTCGAAGTAGCACACCCCACCCTCCTCAGGCAACTGCACGTGATGCAGGCGGAGCTTCAGCGGCTCACCCTCCTGAGAAACCAAATCTCACGGTGTGAAGGTGAGTGCCGCATCACACGATGCCTTCATCGGAATCTTGACCCTCACAGAGCGGGGCTCTGATATGCCTCGGCTCGTCAACGGTGGAGAGCGCAGGAAGCCAAACTGCGGCTGAAATACTGGCGGCTTCTCCACGGTCGCTGGCTGCATTGCTGAAGTCGAAGCCCACAGGCCTCCCAGACTCCATGGGCATGGGGCAGTAGGCTTCTCTGAGGGCTCCGCCCTCGCATCTCCAGTTGATCAGCATCTCCAGCTGCAGTGAACGAGACCTTAAGACAGACGAAACGCCGTATGAGACTGTGTCAGTCTGGGAAACGTCATGATAGTGTTCACCATCACGCTCACGTGTGCGGGACTGAGCTTGAGGAGACTCAAAAGACTCAAAAGCATCTCAACAAATGCTTTCCAAGTACTCAAACACAGCCCAAGTAACAATCTCAACCTTTGTTTTTTTCAGCTTGCTTTCTCGAGCGCTGCTGTTTTGTTTTCTCTACTGCTTTCATAAAACTGATGTGGTAGAAATGCGCCTGGGTGAGAAAACCAGCATTTTGCCTTGAGCAACTGCTGCCCCCCTCTGGATTTGCTTGAAGCAAGCGACACGGAATGAGGAAGTCTTGAGGCACAGGTCGAGAACTTGGGTTTGAATAGGGCATCTCATGAATCAAGAAACATACGATGCTAAATTTGGAGACCACTGGCACCTGTCTCCCCATTTTTGCGCACAAGCAAAATGCTGCAAACAGCATTCTATCTGTCTAGCCTGACTTGGCTTCGGTAACGATGCCCGCTGGCTTGCACGATGATGGCGCTTGTTTAGAGCCTGGCATCGATGATGCTGGTGCCTCAGCGTGCTTGGGCTGACCTGCACCCTTCAACGCAACTCTGGCTTGCTATGGCTAGCTTGTCAGAAACATTTCATTAACCCCTCAACTTGGCCAACAAAGCACGCAAATTCTAGAGGTCAGCCGAGTTCTCACCACACATATGAACCTCGTAAAGCGGGCTCCGCTCGCATGCGCTCTTTGAGAATGAAAGAACATGTCAGTAGATGCGCAAACTCTGGCCAAGGCAGCAGCCCCCCCAAAAAAACAACGACAAGCACCAAGACTCGTGCAAAATGTTGTGCCGAGCGCCCTGCGCTGCCCAACAGCAAAAGACGCCTTCAATGCAAAGCCAAAGCATTGCATGCACGCTTCTGCCGTTTCTGCCAATCGAGCAAGGTGCACTCCAAGCTCGGCTTCTGGCAAGCTCAACGCTTACTTGTGACAAAGCAGGAATGACCTGGTCCAGGGTGTCTTGACATGAACGGCAAGCTACATGCCAGCGCAAAAGACCCACATTAAAAACAAGGGATCTGCTATGTCAACTAAGTAAAGCAAGTGCATACAAGAGTAGACAATCACTTCCGAACGCTAAAAAATCGCTTCTGAACGCTGCCACGTTCGATCACTTCCGAGCACTCAAAAAAATCACTTCAGAACACTGAGCACTCAAAACGCCGAAAGGGTTGCAAAACACTGTAACCGAATGTGCAAATTCATCTTTGGGGGTGGGGTGGGGGGACACCCGCTGAACTGTTTCATCCCAGCCAGGGTGTCAAAATCCAACCAATTTGTTCTTGGGGGGGTGGGATGGTAAGCACACCCGCTCAACTGAACCAGCTCAGCCTGCTCTGCGACCGAATGTGGCTGTGGCTCCAAAAAACCGGCACCAAGATGGAACCCTGGCAGGTGGAAACATGGACCAAAACCTGCATAGCCCCTCCTGTTTAATTTTGAGCCACACCCATGTACAAATTTGGTGGGGTGGGGTGGGGTGGGGGGTGGCATGATAAGCACACCCGCTGAACTGCTTCATCCCAGCCAGGGTGTGCAAAATCAGGCGGGGGGGGATGATAAGCACGCCTGCTGAACTGAGCTCTAATGAGAGCAATTCTTTTCACATCTCTGCACATGCCAAGCGTCAGAGTGCTGCGAACATGCGGTTTCCGAAGAAAAGTAGGTCCCTCCCTTTCTCCCCCAAAACAAACTGAGTTTCCCCAAACATGCCCCAAACTTTGCTCTAGGTCAACGAGGGCAAGTCTGAGCACATGCCAAACGCCAGGCTCTGCAGGCTGCTATGAAAGCGCGTGGACGTATGGGTGCCGATTCTTGTCTCAGCGTTCAAGAGCGAAGCACTCGCCGGTGTCTCGGTGCAGCGCGTGGCATGTGGCTGCGCTTTCAGCGTTCCCAAGCGATTTGTACGTTTTCCGGCGTTCCGAAGCGACTTTTAATCAGCGTTCCGAAGCGACGGTTTTCCCAGCGTTCAGGAGCGACGCGCTCACTGCATACAAGGGCAACTGTACATGGGGGGAAAGGCTGCCCAGTAGCAGGCTATAAACAAATATGAATAACACATAACACGCACACGCACACACACACACACACCAGCGAAGCCGAGGCTTGAGCCTTCCAACTTTGAAGAGCACCCCCAGCCAGCAGTTCCGCATGCCGCAAGTGCTCCACCTTGGGGGAGCTTGGAGTTACATCCCCTGACCTCATCTCGAGAATCCTCAAGCGCATAGTGACCGGTTCTGCACCCGGAAAGGATGCACAACCTACAGTCATGGCTGCTTGCTGAAGGCAAATAGGCACACCGCGCGCCAGAATGAATCAGTGAAGCTCCTGCAAGGCCGACCCGGGTGAATACCACGACTTCCCCACATGCGAAAGGTGCCTAGTCTTGCACAGGGACAAGCCGGGCCTCCGTGGGTTCCTTGTGCTGAATCGCAGGGCCAGTTGCCGGCCAGCTGAAATGTGCGCCTGCGCAAAGCCATCTTGTCAGCCAGTTAGAGTGAAGTCGAGGCCGCCAAGCAGACCGTCTTTTGGGCTGGGCCTCTGAGCTTTTGGTGAAGTTCAGCTGCACTCTTGCTGGGGTGCACGCGGGCACCTGCTGGGAAGCTTTGTTTAGCGCAGCGCATGAGGAAGCAATTGCTAAGTCGCCAGCCACAAGCCCTGGAAGCACGGACCATGCACCTGGCAATGCGGCGTGCAAGGCTTCAAGGTTCCTTGCTTCTTGTTCCCCACCTTGCCACCATTGCAGCCCGCACATGGCTTCGCCGCCATCTAGCCTGCCGAGCGCCAAACCGGCTTCATCCAACAATGGCCCCGTTGACCTGTGGGAGGACGGCAAAAAAAGTCGCAGCAAGTCGCCGCCGAGCACCTGTGAGCTCGGAAAACAGCTGATAAAGTTGGCCAGCAGTGAGTACCAAGTTTGCCACTGGATGAGGGAGCGTGAAGGTGACAACCAACTCGGGCAGAAGAGCGAGGCCTTCCTGCGCTGTCATTGCTGTGCCAGCATGCATGGCAGCACATGGCTAGCACAGTGCTGTTCTCCCTAGAATACTTTTGTGAAAGATACGCAGCCGCGAAGGAAACCTTTTCATGTTTAGCAAGCCTTCTTTGTGGGGGCTTTTGTGACACCGACAATCGCAGCGCTCCTCGCTAGGCGCGACAAGCTCCAGCTCATGCTTGTCTGATTGCCTGTGACCAACGTCTGCACTACTCAGCATAATTCACCCAGCTGCATTACTTTGAGAATGCAAGAAAAGGACCCACCCCCCAGGTCCCCAGTTGAGCTTGCCGTGATTTGTGCAAACACAATCTGGTTGATTAAACAACACACGTCACTTCCATCAGCAGGTCGCGTGCCCTACCCACGTCACTCAAGGGCGCTACTCTACTGTTTGCCGGGTGCAGGTCATCCATGTCATCCATGGATGGGACAAAATTGGACCCCACATTTCGGTAGCCGAGCCGAGGCCCTGAACTCATCGCTAAGCTTCCCACACGCCCACGGCCAAGTCCAGGAGCGCGCTGCACAGCTGGAAGCCCTCTACCTGGCAGTGTGGCAGTGGAACCCAGCGCCAAGGTGATACTCTTGGTAAATGAAAGAGCCTACTTGAGTGTCCAAGACTCAAGTGAGAAGTGGTCTGCGCCCCAAGGATCAGAACACGGAGAAATTTTCGACTGCTGGACGCGCTGGGACATGTTGACTCCACGCCTCCCCAACGTCCAACTTGGCTTGGCCCAACCTGTCCTGGAAGGACCTCACACCGATTCAACCATTCGAGAACTCACTCCGCAACACACGCATGCACACATTTGCACACAAAGAAAGAGCTGGATCTAAGAGCCCTGCATTAATCGCCAGCTTCCGCCGGGAACACTTGCTTGGCCTACCTGGGTGCAAGGGGTGTCTTGCACCGCTTGACGTTGCTACAAGTTCTGCCTCGCCCAACATCACGCACGTCAGCTGGGGCAGCCGCAGTCAAAAGCCGCAGGATGTATGTCATGTTGCTGGAGAGGCCAGCCCCTGTGAAATCCACGGCCAGCATATTGTCTTCCTGTCGCATTGACCGACCGCTGTAGCGCAATGCAAACAACCTGAGACCTGGCCTGCAGGGAGCAGCGGCATGCTCCTCCCCTTAGATCCAGAATCTTGCCAACTTGGGGTGCCAAGGTGCCGGACAGCCCCGGGCGAACAAGCATCCTGGGCCAGGCCTGCCTGCCACAAAACAAACGCCACCAATTCCTGCAACGTCAATGCTGTCCGCCTGGTAAAGCTGAGGGCAAGAAGCATTGCCGTGGTAAAATGCAAAGTTCGCCGGAGCTGTGATGACCAGGGACGGCCAACCTGCAAGGATTAAACACATATGAGCTGCCTGGCTAGTCACACAGACCTTCACCACGAGTTTGACTTGTCTGCGGGCGGAAGGAAATGTTCACCTCACGAATGCGGCAGCTTGAAGCTAGGCTCAACGGTGTGTTCGCACATGGCCAGGCACACAGAAGTAACACATGCCGCGGCAAACGCAATGACCCGCTAAGTCTCCAACCTGATTTGGAGCTCCATCTGGCCAAACAGAGCCGGCAGCCTCACAGCAATACTATGATCTCACCAATTGACAAAACTTAAAGAACCAAGAACCCAGTTGGCAGTGCAAGGGGCACGACCACAAGGACAATCAGCTCACTACACCGCTGAGGCAGCTCTGGATGCTGCAGCTGTGCAAATCCCTAAGCTCTGCTCTGGAGTCAATGGTGTGACTGCCTAAGCTCATGTTCAAAGATGTTGTCGACACATTGCCATCCCGCTTATGCTCCACTCCATTTCTTGGCACAGAATCGCGCCAAGCTGCCATTCCATGGAACGTCTGCACATTGAAGCTCGCAATTGCCAATGAAGCTTCTGAGTCCGTCTGGCCAGCACCCGCGGCTTGGGCTGAGGAAGCCAAGAACACAGCAACTGCATGAGCTACAGCTGGTCTCTTCCCGATGTTTATTCCCGGCCTCTAGGAACCACGAATTCAGTGCCGGTGTTGTTGTGGGATTGGCCTCCACCTGACTGGGTGGCTTGGCGCTGAGCTCAAGCCACACGGTGATTGTTGGGACCTTTTGCCTCAACTCCGCATGCACGGGTCTGGCGCCTCGACGGCGAAGGCATAGCGAACGCCCGCCTGCAGTACCGTGCGGTCTGGAAACTGTCAACAAGAGGCTGAACTTGCTGGAAGTTGATTGAAACTCCCCCAAAACCTGTCAAGCCTGCTCGACAATCACGGGAGCCCAAAGTGAGCATATGCATTTCTTAGGGGTTTCTCGGTCTTTAGGGAGCCTTGAACCTCAGGCAGAACTTTTCAAGAGCCCTGCTTCATCGGTGGTTTTAGTTTACAATCGAAATCCTGAAATCAACAACACATCTTCGAACACGACAAGCGACCAGTCTTTCAGCAGCCGCCATTTCCTGGTGCCTTTCCTGGCTGGACTCTAGGCCTGCAAAGGTGCCAGGAGCTCCAAGCGCGCTTTAGGCCCAGTGGCCTGGCAAAGCAAAGCTGCGCAAGCCGAAGGGATTTGTTCCTACATGTGCGCGGTCCCATTTGCCCGGTAGGCCGAGACAAAGCCCAAGCAATGCAACCATTTGACTTCATAAACGTGACATTGCCAGGTCAGAGCGCAAAAAGAATCTTTGCTAAAGAAGCAGCAAGCACAATATCCTCCCGACCACTCCCACCAGCCCAACGTACGAAACTTTGCCTCACAGCTGGCAAGAGAAGCACCTTGCCACAATTTGGCCCATGGTTTGACCAGGCCAAGGGTTACACATCAGATTGACAAGGATGTGAACGTAATAACGTAACAATCTGACTGCATGCTGGTGGCTGCCTTCACGTGTCTAACTCAACCAAATAGACCACGCGCCTGCGATGCTGACTACGTCAGTAGCGTTTGCCAGGCAGTCCTGCGCTTGAACACTCTCTCTCTCTCTCTCTCTCTCTCTCTCTCTCTCTCTCTCCCCCTCGCACTAATCGCACAGGAGGGGAGAGTTGACCGAAAGTAGCACAGTTGGATCCGGCTGCACGCATCGCCAATATGCAATGACAGCGAATGCTCCGAAGAAGGAACGGAGAAGAAGGCAGAAGTATGACCGTACGCTATATACGCTGATGTGTGTGTGTGTGTGTGTCTTTGTCTGTGTGCTTGTGTGTGTGTGTGTTCTTGTCTGTGTGTGTGCTTGTGGGTGTGTGTGGCTTGTGTGTGTGTGGCTTGTGTGTGTGCTTGTGGGTGTGTGTGGCTTGTGTGTGTGTGGCTTGTGTGTGTGCTTGTGTGTGTGTGTGTTCTTGTCTGTGTGTGTGCTTGTGGGTGTGTGTGGCTTGTGTGTGTGTGTGTGTGTGTGTGTCTGTGTGTGTGTGTGTGTGCGTCTGTGTGCGTGTGTGTGTGTGTGTCTCTCTGTCTGTGTCTGTGTCTCTGTGTGTGTGTGTGTTTATGTGTATGCTTGTGTCTGTGTTTGCTTGTGTGTGTGTGTGGTTGTGTGTGTGTGTTCTTGTGTTCTTGTGTTCTTGTGTTCTTGTGTTCTTGTGTTTTTGTGTTCTTGTGTTCTTGTGTTCTTGTGTTCTTGTGTTCTTGTGTTCGTGTGTGTTTTGTTTGTCTGCTTGTGTGTGTGGCTTGTGTGTGTCTGTGTGTGCGCGTGCACCTTTGCATCTTATTTCAAGATACAGCTGAGCACGGCTCGCCTATGCTGCCAATGTGAATCTCCGAAGCATGTCCCTCCCGAGCCGACTGGGCTGAGGGGAGGGTGATGTTGATGGCCACTTGACAAGTGGAAGTCCTTCTTGAGCTGAAAGCCATCAGGGCCACTCAGAATCAACACCTCACAACCGTGCAAATGTGGAAGGAGCAACCAGGAACCATGATAACAAGGCTGGTAGGGGGCATACATTGCCCTGCTGCATGCGCAAAGGTCAGCACAAGGTTGAATTGAGCAAGCTGTTAAAAAGCTCGTTATGTTGGTGTTGCTTGTGAACAGAACCTCTCTCAGCTTCAGCAAACAAAGTACGGCCACCAGGGTCCCAACACTGCTGGTATGAGCCAGCAACACGGAGAAGGTGAGGCGGTTGCTCTCAAGAGGCCTTCACAGGAGGCAAATCCTTCAAGTCGTGTTAACAATGCCTGCCATGCAATTCGTGGCGCAGGCACGCGCTGCATTGGCTGTTGCATGAATCTAAAAGCCAATCATTTCTGATGCCGCAGAGTTGCAGCAATTGCACTGCCTTGCCTATCATTTCGCCCGTCTGCGAAATGGAGCCCCTGCCAAATGCAAACACTTGGCAGGAGCGCGTGCGGCATCCATTCCAACACCACAGGCGTAAGCTTCGTTGCACTGACGAACCTGCGGGCCCACAGCACATTTTGCGAGCGAAACCAATTTCATGCGGATTGCATGGAACCTATGGGCATATGTTACATGGCCTTCTCGGCCAATGGAAACATGCTTCAAACAAATGTTTGGTGTAGGGCAATGAGGCCTGCTGGCGCATCCAGGTCCTGAAACTGTGAGACAATCACCTCTTCTGAGGGGCCGTTGGGGAAGATCTGCTCGTCATACACCATGACCAGTGTCTCGTCCTTGGGCTGCAAATAGTTCTGACTCCCCCAATCTGTGTACTCACCTGCCCCGAGTGCAATCCACATTGACACAGGGTAGTCGCTCTCCACAAGCTGTGGGAAGATCTCCTCCCACTTGTCAGTGTCCTGCTGTGTGTTGATACACGCCACCACCCAATCTAACAAGGCATCATGGAAGAGCAAGTAGTTTCTGGCCGGCGCTGGCACGCTGTACTGGATGACCTCCCCATCCCGCATGATGTAGGAGGCCAAGCACAGTTGATCCACATAAGAGCCTTGGGAAATGGACTTCACCCGGAAGCTTCGGAGGCTGATTCCTTTGCTGCCAGCCCCCCAGTTCTTCTTCTCACTCAACTTCTGGGAGCCGTCCAAGTGTCGGATGGAACAATCATTGAATGCTGCAACTCGCCTTGGCATCAGGCGCTCAACCTTGGACAGGTCTGGAGTGTAAACGATGTCGCACAGCAAGCCCATTTCGGGCTCCACCTGGACATTGCCGCCCTTGTGCGGGAAATCGATGACGGCATTGCTGACGGGAAAGTTTTGCAATCGATTGAGTACCTCTTTCTCCGGCGCATCCACAGTGTGGGGGTGGGGCGCGTAAAACGTGAAGACTGCTGCAGGCATGTCCGAACTGTGGCTGGAGTCTGCCTCGCCGGCTTGCTGCATGTGGCCCGCTACGTTGCCGGCAACACCAAGACCAAAGGTACGGTGCCACTGCTTCAGCCTGGCTGAATTGCGCACCATCTGTACCGCCTGACAGGGCTCCACGTGTTCCGCAAATGAAGCTACATGTCCTTTGAAACACTCTGTTGGCTGTCACGGCCCTTATGGTCCTAGACATGTCACAAGATCTAGAATGATCCAGCAAACCCCGCCTTGAAGTTTTCGACAAAGCCCGAAAAATCCACAGAGCCTGTCTTCTGAGGATCCAGAATTGAGCAAAGCACGGCAGCGTGCTCGGTTGCATCAAACTTGCGGCACATGTGGCGAATCTCTGCGTGGGTGAGGCTGCCATCATTGTCTCGGTCAAGCTTCTTCCAAATGGCCCACTGCCGAGGGTGGGTCGCTTTTGTTGCAAAGCCTCGCCCAGGATGAGAGCCTGCGCTCAGAACGCGTAGGAACCTCATGGCTCCGGCTGTTAGTCTAGCTTGAGCCTTTCAATTCAGCCTTGCATCTCAACGCAGCCCTTGACATTTGCTCTGCTGCTCCACCGGCACACGGAAGCATGGCAGGCGGGCGGCATCAGGCATCTGCTGCTTCAGCCGTTGACCAGGAGTAAAGCTTTTGGCATCAAATTCACCAAAGGACTCCCCGCGCAGATCCACCTCAACCACATAATCTGCAGCAACCAACATGGCACATCACTTTGCGAAGCAGGCGGGTTTGTCCGCCGGCTAAGCTTTTCTCATGAGGCGTTCGACCCTTTTCAGGATCAGAAGGTTCTCTTGTGATGCGCTCTCTGATTCACATGCTGAATTGGATAAAGCGATCAGCAGCACTGAGAATTGCTCAAGACTGAAGAAGGTCCAGCATGACTGGCCTCAAGGAGCAGCTTTGGTTGAGTCCATGGATTGGCATGGATGAGAAGCTGATGCCAAATTTGGCTGGTTGTTTTGAAGTGAAGCAACGCAATCATGGGCTCAGGTGAGCACTGTCCCTTCTGATTAAAAAGAAGGCATCCTTTCAGCTGCTTGTGCTGCTGACGAGCCAGGAATCGAGTGCACGGCCAAAAACGCCAAGGGCTGGGCCATTTGCACAGCTTTCCTGATCTCCCGTATCCTGGCGGCATGAGCAGGTTCCAGGGTCGCAGGGTCCACTTTGGGATGAGCCTTCTTTGCGCATGGGGCTGCTTTCTCGCGCAAGGGCACAGACTAGGTAAGGTAAGGTAACAAGGGCCCTTAGAAAGATCACATCCTCAACATCAAGGCACAGAAGGGCCCTAATTGAGGAGTGGCCTGTTGTGCTGGCCCAAGCCTGCAGCGCCAGCTCTGCATTTACTGCGCCCACCTGCCCAGAACTCCAACAGGAGCCACGCAAGTCGCTTCCCTACATGAACCGCATCTGATAAGCAAACGGCACAGCACCTGCCCACTTTTGGCCCCATGCCACTTTGGACATGCAATCCGCTCTTATCCATGCCACCTTGAACCGCATCACACTCTCGACGGCCAATGCGCTTTGAAAACTGTCTTCCAGCCCTGTGCCGGATTCGGATGATGATTGGCACTGGTAGGCCTCGGCTGCTCCTCCACACGCTCCACACGCTCCACTCGCCGTGGGCCATGCAGTCGTGCTTCGGCTGCGGCCATGGCGTTGGTGAAGCCCAGCAACGTGCTGTGACTCTTGCTGCTGCTGGTGCTAGCAACCTACCAAGCGGAGGGTGCCCATTTTCGGCCTCTTTTGAAGCCTGCCTACAACCAAAGCGAACAGGATGCCCTCCAAAGAACAAACATTCACCAATCAACACGGCTGAACCAGCATCTCAGGCCAAAACAAAATGCGTTATCTCGCCTGTTAGCTGGGAGCTGCTGGCAAAAAGCGTTACGCGCCAGCGTCACCCTATGGAAGTCTACAGGCAGGGGCTTTGATTTTCGGATTTTCGGACCTCCGAGCCCATAACGTCCTCCATGCAAAAGAGCTTTCCGCTGACAGCGCCCCCGGAGGACACCGCCGTGACCAGCTCCGCATGGCGCCGCTCCAAAATGGAGAGCTGGCGCTGGTGCGCCTCGATCTGGCGCCGATGCATCTCCATTTGCTGCACCGTCCAACTCAGCTCATCCTCAAAGCTCCGTCTGGAGGGCTCCTTCCTCAGCTTGCACCTGGCGCTTGCTTCAACTCTCGTTCGCAAAAGTCGTGGAGTCGCCTCTGCCCTCCTTGCTTACTTGTGCGTCGTGTTTTGCCTGGCTCGATTCCTGCGGCAACCTCCGTTTTTGGGGCACAAAGGGTTCGGTCCAAGGCCGCCAGCAGCCCTTGCTCCCAAGCCTTACACACTCACGCTTCCGAGTCGTGCGCACGGCAGAGCAGTGCGGCACGTCCTGATCCGGGCGCGGCCTTGTGCCGCTGTCGAGGTGCAACCTACTTAAAAGGTCTGGCTAGGTCATTGGCCGTTCGGATTGGCCTGCCAGCGCAAAAAGTGCGAAGAGCACGATCCACGTTGTGTAAGGTACAACGTGGCAGCTCAAGCGTAAGGCCACTCTGTGGTGGTCCAACTCCCAGGGTTGAGAGATTGAGGCTTCGAACCTCTCCAATGCCCAAGTTGAAAAAGGAAGCACAAGCCCGAAAAAGCAAGCGAACCACATGGATGTCCGAACCAAGATTGCATTGAGCATGGGAGAGGCTAGGCTGATCTCGCCAAATCGCACCGTCTTTGTGGGGTGCCGGGCTGGGAAAAGCTACGCCTGCAAGCCTGAGCGCAATCGCGCATTCAAGCCAAGAAATGAAAACTGGTCCTTCGGAGGTCTGGGCTTGCTGATGCAGCCATTGGATGACCTGAAGGGGAAACCTGGTGCCGAATTTGAATTCTACTGCTGATCCTGCAAGGTCCGTTGCCCATTCTGGGCTAAGCGAAGCGAGCCATCTAATCTGCCCTTCACTGTGTGCATAGGGCAGCGGCTCCTCGTCATCGGGGAGGTCGTCAGGACTCTTTGAAGCACCACTCAGGTGCTACTGAGGCCTTATTCGCAAAACGGTGCCTCCTTTATTGCCGCATAAGGGTTAGTGCCAAAATGGGAGGATTGCCCAGTTCCACTGGGCAGCTCCCCTCAGCAGCTGATGGGAGTAGGATTGATGCCACTCCCACAGCGAGGGAGGAATCCTCCCACCTCACCGGATGCCCTCCCGGCATCATGGGTGAGGAAGGAAAGTAGCGAAGATCAGCTTGATCAATTCGCTTTCGACTGAGGGGAAGACCCGGTTCTCAGTCGGAAATTGCGGGTCCGGATGAGTAAGTTCATCCGCCCATGTGTTAAAGTCGCGCTTCACATGCGACGGTCCTAACATGACCTGGTGGTCATGCAGTGTTAACACAATTTCCATGAGGATGGCCGCATTGGGCATCCTGCGAGTGGAATCGTTAAGCAGGGAGAAAACGTTTCCCTGGTTATCACTAGCAACCAGAATCCTAGTGTGAGAAGCCGAGCCGGCTGCACAAAGCAGAGCAGCCCTCACCAAAAGGAGGAGGCCGAAGAGCTCCAAGGCCGCTATCGCCCGCTGCGGGTCCCCAGTAGTGAAGGCCCACGGCTCGCCCTCCGGTGTGATTCTGTGTTGGAACCACTTCACTCGGGACTTGTCGGGGTTGGGCACGTCCGAGCACCAACCACCAACCCATGCATGGTCCGCCTGTTTGCCAGCTCCCGCATCAGATGCCCCCGTCCATGGAAGTGTGGGAGCAAATGGAGATGCCAGTGGGAACCTCTGGTTGAAGAGCTTCCCCAGAAGGATGGCCAGAGCACGAACCAGCTTCGGTGGCCTGCCCGAAGTGGTGCAGGCCTTCTTCCAGCTCCAAAAGGGCTGGAGGAAAGGTTTCGTCAATGGACACGCCGAAGTAGCCCATTGAATCCGGCCCAGGGCTTGTTCCACCTCCTTGCTGGTAAAGATGTCCCCCTGGGCCAGCCGTTTGAGAGTGGCCAGGATTATGACGTGCTTGACTGGAGCCAGCAGCACACAGGGCGTGATTGGGTCCACCACGAATCCCAACCAGGTATTGACCGGGGAGAGCGCCGTCTTCTTCCAAGAAAGCGGGACTCCCAGCGCCAGAAGAGTGGCCAGGATGGCTGTGGCGTCCCAGTCCGCCCTGCTGCATCTGAGGACCCAGCAGTAGTCGTCCACAAAAACTAAGTGCCAGTCCACCTGAGGGAAGATGTAGTACAAGAGTCTGAGCACCAAGGATGCCTTTCTTCCCCAGTACAGTTGTGCCGAGGCCATGCCGTACGTGCCCACTCTATTGACCCACCACCGGTTCTGGATGCAGGCCACCTGGTATTTCCAGTCTTTCTGGAGCACTTTTATGCGCCTGTGGGCCTTGGTGACATCCGCCTTGAGGATGATGAAGGTTTCCCCCTGTGTCGGCGGCTGCCACGTCAGGGGTTCCCCCCTGCTCCCCCCAGGGCGTTCCGTGCCTGGGGGGGTTGGGGGGAATGGGGCCCTCCTATCAGGGCCCTCGGCACCTGGGAGTGGCCCCTTCCCTGAGGGTGTTGACCGCGGAGAGACGTCCAGGCCGCCGGAGGTCTCCATCATCCGCCTGCCCCTATCAGGGCCCTCGGCACCTGGGGGCAGGCTGGTGCTGTGGGGGTCCCTCTCAGGGCCCTCGGCACCTGGGGACTGCCCCTGCACCGGCTGGTGAACATCCCGAGGTTCCTCATCAGTGCCCGAGGATGGGGCTCGGAGTAGATGAGGATGGTCCGCCGCTGTCCTGAGCCAGTGGATGGCATGGAGGCAGTCTCCAACCATCGGTGCGGTGGTCTTCTCCTCCGTGTGAGCCTGGATGTGTGCGTTTGCTCCCCCTTTTGAGCCATCATAGATCGTCCTGATCTTGTCCGACTCATCAATCCCTGCAAGGGGGCCCGGGCAAAGTTCCTCCGGTTTGCAGCGGCACCTCTCTGCCGCCTCGGAGCGAGTGAAGGGACCGTCCACCATGTCCAAGGCTCGTTCCTCGTAAAAGGTTGATTCGATTTCCTTGGCAAAGAGTTCAGCCGTTGGGTAGTTATCATGAGCCACTGGCGGGGGGGGATCTTCCCCCAGCCATGCCTCTCCCTTGAGCTCCTCCTTAGTGGGCCAAACTCCCGGAAAGGTCAAGGTAGGGTCCGAGACTCCCAAAAGGACCCCCTCTTTCAGTGTCAGGGGGAACTCCCAATCAGGGTCACCTGAAAGGGATGCCAAGTGCGACACTAAGTCCAGGAGGAAGGGTTGTCCTGGGCATCGTTCATGGAGGTGCCTCGGTCCTAGGATAGCCCGCAGCTCCTCGAGGTCGGTTTCCTGGAAGGGGTGTGTGGTGGCACCTGATGCCAGGGACATCCGGACCTTATCAATCCAGGGCCTGGTAAGGGTCATGATCAGGGCGCCCAAAGTAGCCAAAGGGGAAACTCTCCGAAAAGGGGGGTTGAGCCTCCCCGGGGAAGGTTTCCCCCCCCCATCTCTCAGGGGGCGTGAACGGAAACCCAATTGGACAATCGCAACTCGGTCAGTGAGGCGTGGGACCCGGAAAGCGGGCAGGCATTCGGGGCGGTCCAGGACCTGGTCCCCATGTTCTTCCTTTTCCAGTTGTTCCGCATCTCCGGCCATCGGGGGCATGGGAGATGGGAAGTCTGGACTCATAGTTCCACGAGGGCTTACGGTGTCAGCCTCATGGTGGATGTGCCCGTGCTGGCGGGGCTTCGGGGCATTCTTGCCTCCGGGCTCTGGGCCCTGGTGTGACGAGGAGGGACCGCCTCCCTGATTGGGTCCCCGTTTCCCCGGGGAGAAGGGCCCCCAGGGGGGTCCGACCCCCTTCCCTTAGGTGGTTCCTTAGGGTTTCCCGGGAATTGTGAGGGGATCCGGATGTGCCCCGGCGCTGCGAGTGACACAGCGATGGCTTTGGCCAGGCCTGCCATCATATCCCAGGGGTATCTGCTGAGAGTCGAGGACTCGCTGGTGCCCACATGTGACTGATGTGTGCACCGCACTTGATCCCAGTCCTGGATTGGGAGATCCGTGGCAAGTGTGGTGGCCTTCTTGACCAGCTGGCCCAGGCGGCACTGGTCGAAGGAGATTGCTGTCAAGGAGTTTTCCTCCATCCAAATCTGCCCCTCCTCCGTGATCCAGAAGGATGAGCATTCCTTGGCTTTGGGCAGCGAGCTGCTCACCACTGGGTCCTCCGGGTGCTCCAAGAAGGATTTTGGCCCTGGCAGCGAGGCCGCCGATCTTGAGGCCCTTGCCAGGCTGGTGATGTACATCTGCCTCAAAATGAGGGTACTGTCCTCATCAAGCTGAGTCTGGGCGGCCTGGTCCAGGTGTGGGAGGCCCCAAAGTGT